GTTCCAGACACAAGTTCTGGAATTTCGACCAATCAAGATCAAGCTTCAACCCCATTGGCAGGAAATTCAAGCTTGAACAATGACGCAACACTGTCGCACAGTGATGCAGAACGACTAATTCGTTCATTGGCTGGAATCCCGGGTGGCCGCCCGTTATTCCAAATGCTACTCGAAAGTATGCATAAACTTTCGTCGACGAACACGGAGAAATCCGTGCCAGTTGACAATCCTCCCCAGTCGCCGCTAAACCAACAAAACGGCGACCGCGACCCCGACGATCCGTGGCGCCCTCTAGACAACATGAACCCTACTGGCCGCTACAACGACGGCGAGCTGGCTGAGTACACCAAGGTCCTCATCAACTCGCCTCCGATCAAGCTGCCCAAGCTCCATCTGAAGGGCGACTACAAAGCCTGGAAGAGCGAGGTGCCGTTGCACTTCGAGCCGAAGATGTTGGGAGACATCACCTATGGCCGTGAGCGCTACGATGCAGTAGAAGGCATGCGTCGTGACAAATATCGCGTGTGGTACAAGTCGCGCAAGAACAAGGCGCTCTCAGCACTTGCGTTGTCACTGTCTGTTGACCTACGTACGACGTTCAAGATCGACGACATCCACGACAACATGGACGCCGCCGCTATGCTCTACGATGCGATTACGCAGCACTTTGAGGCTGGAGATGGCATTAATCCTGATTACCTACTGCAAGAGCTAGTGACGCGCCGGCTCAAGCCAAACGAGTCGGTATCGCAGTATGCTGACGACATTGCGAAGAAGGTGACACTTCTACATCAAGCTAATGGTGAGTTTGCTGAGTGGCAACATGCAAGCCTACTACTGTCCAACAGCGTGGAAGCGTTTAAAGATCTCGCCCTTGAACACGGCGATTGGCTTAACAACCATGATCGTACGACACTTACACTTGCTGAAGCTTTACAACGACTACGCGCTGCTGAACACCAGCGTGACCAGCTGCGTGCACAGACCAGACAACCGGTCGCGCATTCAATGCAAGTTGCTCATGTCGGAACGGACCAAGGACAAGGTCAAGCCCGAGGACGCAAGCGCAACAAGCAACAGCGCAAGCGATCCAAGGGCGTTGCAGATAAGAAGCAGCGCACAAACTGCGCGAACTGTCAAGGAGAAGGACATTGGTATGCCGAGTGTACGGCTCTCACTGGCCAGCAACTGAAGCCAGAGCTCGCGAGAAAGCTGCAAGAGAGACAACCAAGGGCTCCCGTGTCGCTGGTGAACTCCGTACGTCGTGTGGATGCGGTAGCGTTGGAAGAAGATGGCCAAGGACTGTTTGCTGGCCTATCACTATGCGATGCGAATGCGATTGGCCTTACGGATGGTGCTGCCCTATCGCCTACGGCTACGCAATCACCTGCATGGTCACTAACGTCTCCTGCGGAAAGTGAAGAAGGAGGAGAGCGTCGTGTTGTTGAAGGGGTGCGGGCAAGTACGCAACGCACTCAATCGTCGGTTGCGCAAGCAACGCAGCGACTGCAGCTGCAAGTTGGAGCTCCTGTTCAACACATACAAGTTGGAGGACAAGGACTACAACAACGACAATCAACCTCACTGCCTACACTGCAAGCACCAGCTGTAGCTGTGCAAACTGCCATACAATCTGCGGTACAACCTGAAGTGCAACCTACTAAACAACCTGCTGTTCAACAGGGTGTAGAAGCTACTGTACTGCAAAACATGCAACCTACTGTATCGAGTACTGCGCAGACTCAGTGGGAGGGTAATCAGTCTACAGCTGGATTGGTGCCTACGTAGGAATCAGTCATCTACTACTTGGGGCAAGGACTGTCGAGTAACTCGAAAGGGCCTACACTTGAGCCATGGCGCAATCAAGCTGAACCACAAAGGGGGTTCGGCTGTGCCGGGGGATAGCTGTCGAGGTCCTGATGTCGGGTTTAACAGACGCCAAGAATCAGGGATGCGCAATGATTGCAGACCTAACTTGGAGAGTGCGTACGAGAGAGGACTCTGGAGTCAAGATGTTGGACACTTTGACCCTCCTATTCAAGGACGAGGACGAAGTCGTTCACCACCCCGATTCTTCAATCGAGAACGAACTCCACCAAGAGGAAGAGGCCGTTCTCCGTCAATGCGAGGGTGTGAACCAAGAGGAAATCCAGGGCGTTATCGATCTCCACCGCGTCAGCAGCAGTGGCGTAACGAGAGACCGAGTCGCTATGAGCCGCCACCTCAACGTGATGATCGACTGAGTCGCTATGGACCGTCGTCTCCGCAGCAGCAGTGGCGTGACAATCCTTCGAGAGGACAAGGACCTTCACCTCGACGTGACAATTTCCAAGGGCGGAACATGTCTCCGCGTCGATTTGAAGACCGTCGTGAGAACAGACCACCCAACTCTCGTCAAGTCAACGCTGTGAACCAGAACCAAGGTATGCAATCAGCTCAGTCTGAGTTTGTGGAGTGGATACTTGATTCAGGATCCCAGGCAAATGTCTGTGGTGACCTGTCATTGTTTACTACCATAAGGGAAGACCAAGCTAGTCGACTTGACTTTGCGAATGGCACAACTGAACACACTTCTGTTTGTGGGTCTGTGCTATTGCGTGTTGTTAACCAGGCAACTGGCCAGCTCGAGGACCGTCTCCTGGACGACGTGGTGTACACACCGAACGCGAAGGTGAACATCATTAGTTTGGGCTACCTACAAACGAAGGGCAACTTCAAGTTGACATGCTCAGAGGACCAACAGACTGCTTGGATCTCCAAGCCAAGCACATCACTCAAGTTCATGATGCGTGACAGTATCTACCGACTACGTGCAGAAAGAGTGACTGGAGTAATGGTGATGGCGGCTCTAAAAGAGGACATGGACAGCAAGAAAGCCATGGAGCTGCTTCACCAACGATTTGGTCATATGAGCATGGAGACGGTGAAAGTGTTGGCAAACAAACTCGATGTTGGAGTTAAGATGAATGCAAAAGGTCTGACTTCCTACGAGTGCGTTGCTTGTGCTGCCAGTAAGGCAAAACGAATGTCTTATAAACGGATTCCATCGCGGAAGTCCGAACCTCTGGAGACTCTCATGATGGACATTTGCTCTGTGAACGAACAGTCTGTGGATGGAGCTACAATGTTTCTCTTTATCATAGATGAGTCTACAAGGTACAAGTGGCCGTTCCTACTCAAGAAGAAGAGTGAAACAACGTTCCACATCAAGGTCCTGCTGAACAGGCTGCGAACTCGCTTTCCTGAGAAGAAGGTGCGACGACTACACTCTGACCAAGGAGGTGAATTTGCAAGCAAGGAACTAAGTGACTACTGCGTCGACCAAGGGATTGAGCAGCAGTTTACGAACGCCTATTCTCCTCAAGAGAACGGCATTGTGGAGCGTGCTAATGACGTGGTTCTACCAAGAATCAGAGCGATGCTGATGGCTACACACATGCCCAACTCTTTGTGGGGAGAAGCCTTCCTGCATGTGGTGACGACGTTGAACTGGTTGCCCACCAAGCCTTTAGGATTAATTTCCCCGCACCAGAAACTGTACGAATCGGAGACAGCCCAAGTACGCAAATCATCCCATGCTGGATGATTTGCGTACTTGGGGCTGTCTGGCACACGTGCGTGTTCCCCCTGAGTCAAGACAAGCGAAAGAAAAGCTGGAAGCAAGGGCAAGACTGTGTTTATTACTGGGTTATAGCGAATCGACTCTAGGCTACAAGTTCATTGACCTGGTGACAGCTCAAGT